AATCACTATGTTGCAAGGCCGGCCTCTTCCAAGTCTGGCTTCTAACTTCAGCTTCCCACAATGCAGACCATAGGAGACAACAGTGATGGCTCCAATGATTGGGCTGTTGCCACACTTGTGGTAGACCTGGTTACCTCCTCAGCTCCTAGATTCATCTACAGTCCAGTAGTAGCTTTTGTGGGCAATTGGGGAATGAATCAACAGATAGGAGCTCTCTCCCTCTCTCTCACTATGCCTCTCAAATTAAAAAAAAAAAAAAAAAAGATAGAAGTGATAAGAATTAGATTTCTAAGAAACATCTCAGGGAAACTCATTCTGGCTAAGAGAAGAAAATTGAGAAATGTTTTATAAAAGGAGTTTTAGCCACCAGAAAGAAGGGTGTAATATATGGAGGAAGGTAATAAATAAAAATACTCTCAAGCAAAGAACTAAAGCATTATTAAGGAAAGCATATCTAAAGTTAACTGCTTGGGGGTAGGCACTTGGCCAAGAGGTTAAGCTTCCAATTGGGACACCTGCCTCCATATTGAAATGGCTGGGCTCACTTTCTGGCTCCACTCCTGATTCCAACTTCATGACAGTGCACACCCTGAAAGGAGGTAGGAGATGTCTCAAGTGTTTGGGACCCTGCCACTCATGTGGAGACTCAGATGGAGTTCCAGATTCCTGGCTTCTGCCTAGCCCAACCTAGTCCTGGCTGTTGTAGCCATTTGGGGAGTAATAAAGCAGATAAGTGGTCTCTCTCTCTCTCTCTGTTGCTATGATTTCAAGTAAATGCAAATAAATCAACATTGAAATTAAAATTTTCTCCAATATATTTACAAATTACTGATTCAAAAGATATGCTATTTTATTTGTTTTTTATCTGACATCCTATCATTCTCCAAATAATCACAGACAAGAAAAACAACAAAGATGAAAGATAATAGATATATGAATGAGAGATAGATAAATAGGCAGATAATAGAATGATTGCTTGTTTTTTTTTTTTTTTTTCACTATAAGGCTATTACTGTATTGGGGAAAGGTGGTATCAAATCAACCAAGTGCAACATATATCAGAGTGGATGTTTGTACTAGCTCATTAACTATAATATTGTTCAGACAGTTTTAATTATTGTGGCTGTATTTTCTTACCTGAAATATAAGGAGTTTGAGCTAGATGACTGTAGAAGTCCCTTCTGTTTACAGGAGTTGTTAATACTACCTAGTCTGGATGAAGGAAAATAAGACATTTTCCTGAATAAATAAAAAGGACATGCCCGGAGAAAAGTCTGTTTCTAACTGCTCTGATGGCCCCTAGGGGATGAAGGAGATGAGCAAGATTGTTTATAAGCCCATTCTTGCCCTGGAAACTTCTGCAAAATATCAAAAGGACAGAAATGCAGGGGTAGGATAATGATGATGTGAGCAACCCAATAGTCACTGCATTGACACAAGAAATCCTCTGTGTGGGCAAACCGCATGGATTCCATAACAACCATTTGTAACAAAAAGAAATATATTTTGTGTTTACAGAAAGGAGTGAAAGATTTTTAGCTCAGTATCATAAAATTCACTATTAGAGTGGGAAAAAATATAAATCCCAAAGCAATGATTAAACAAACAAGCAACAATACAAGTATTTATCATTCCATGTATTTATTTTGATGGTTATACCTTGTGCTCTTTTTCCAAGCCATGAACAGCAAGACATTCAGACTCATAAGTTTTAAATTGTCTAACTCCACCTAAGAATGACATTAGGCAATAGACTCTGACTTCAATGAAACTCCATTGAAGCCAGTGCAGATCCCGCCTCTGTGATATCATGGCTCTCTTCTCATCAGAGAATAATTTCTGATCCCTCTGCAACGCCCCTGTTTCTACAACTTTGGATGGATTTTGCATATAAAAACCACACAAGTATATTTCCCTCCCCGTAAGAAATTACTGAAAGATCACAGCGACCTGTCCCTGCCCTGAAATTGGATGACGACCTTCTTCTTATCTCCACAAATACAAGACAACAGAAGTCCCACATTTTGATACAAGAAGCCAGCTGGTATTCTAAATAGAAATACAATCATAAAAACACATACTGCAAACAAACAATGAAATTAGAAGAGAATTGCTAATTTAATGGCATCTAAGGGCTGAAGAGAACTTCCCACTGAAAGAACTTTGGAGTCTCCCATCTCTTTGGGAAGTAGCTCTTGGTATGTGTTGTCTTCATTATGCTGAAAAAATGAATGAGCTGGCAAGAGCTCCTGGGTTTAGAATCTGAGCTTTCTGCCCCATAAGTGACTGCAACTCAACTCAGCCAGGCCCTTATCTTGTGCAGCTCTGTCCTGTTTGGCACTCCGTTGTATTCCTGAAAACTGGCCTTTGAGATATTTGGAGTTCTGCTCAAGATAGAGTAGTTTCTTTTTTCAAGTCAGTGGGGACTCCCGTATCACTGTTGCCAAGACACATATGAGGGAAGAGAGCATTGTTTGAAACTTTCCTCTTTTAAATGTAAAAGAATGTGTGCTCAGAAAAAGAGGAGATGGCTCAATAAAAACACAATGCAAAAGAATGGGTAAAAATAATGACAAACATTGTATAGAGTTGAGAATCCATTGTATGATTTCCCATGCAGGTTATATGTTGTACAAACTCTCTAGCTTTTAAAATTTGACTGAGAAATGGAGAGACTAATGTGTAGACAGAGAGCTAATATCCACTAGTTCACTTCCCAAATGCCCACAACAACTGGAGTGTGTTGGATCCATGCAGGAGTTGGGAAGTCAAACAACTTCTTCCTCATGAGTGGCAGGGACCTAACTACTTTACTCACCACCTGCTGCCTGCCAGCATTTGCTTTAGAGGAAGCTGGAATCAGCAGTCAGAGCTGAGAATCAAAGTCATGTCCTCCATTGAGAGATGCAAGCATCCTACCTGGTGTCCGTAGTTTTAACATACAAAGTTTTACAAAGAAAATATTAAGGTTCAGGGAAGTTAAGCAGTCTTTCTGGGTTAAGAAGGACATCAAACACAAAATCTAAATTACAAATCCTTGGTTTACTCTCTTTTCCTAGAATACAGGATCATGCAGACTTTGTTTCAGGATCAGTTTCTTCATAGGGTGTTCATTGGCCAGTTTTCTTATTTGCAGAGACATCTATTCACTAGATCTTATAAGAAGATTTCTCTTTCCCACCCAACTTCAACTCTTGCATTCGGTAACTGAACCAACAGGTTGTCTCGCCCCTCCTGCCCCTGCTGGTGGAACCCTACCAAAGTTATGAAGTGTGCAGTCCTGGAGGTGTGTTGGCTCCTAACACCCTATGGAGGTATATGAAAATGCAAGCATTGCTTCCAACTGCTTAGTTTTGATTTAAGATTCTGATTTCAAGAGTTACATTTCTCTTATCTATATATAAACCATGCCCTGAAATTACCTCCCTTTTCCTCAAAGATTCCACGGTCCAAGATCTCCATTTCACATCACAATTTCACAATAATTATGTGCTTTCTTTATTTCTTATCCACTTTACCATAGATACAATTTTATACTTTGGGTATAATTCTCCCTATGACTGGACCCATGATATCCCTGATAACACCACAGTAACCACCTGCCTTATGTATGTTTCTGCTGATTATTAGTGTCTTCCCTGACATTCACCCTGATAATAACCTCTCTTCTTAGGTGTCACTGATTGCCAATGTGTGCCCTGAGAATTACCTAACTTCTTGTACATTCGCTAGCTGCCATCTATTAGCTCATTTGCCAATTATCTCATCAAGTGATAAAAGAAATTGCTACCATTTACTAAGAACTTAAGTACCTCATCCTATGCTAAACACGCTACTTGGGTTACCTCATTTGCATCCTTAAACATCCCAGTGAAGACTGTCTGGAACTTGAAATGTCTTTTACCTTGGAATTAGGAGGGGCAGAATAAAAGCATGATTTTTGTCCCTCCCAAATTCCTATGAAACACAGGTACCACTGATCCTGTTTAAACATAAGCCAACAGGATGTATCTCCAAACATGTGAAAACAAATAGATATTTGTTCAAAATAACTTGGCAAGAATATTTTATATAATGGAAAATAAAGTCTGTGTTCTAAGTCATATAATAGGTTCATAAACTCATAAATCCTTAAATTACCAATAAAATGAATTCTGGGCAGTGACTTCCCCTTTCACTGTCCAGGAAAATTAGTAAGAACTAAGAAGCAATGACAGAACTTCCTTTGGACTATATTATTTCACTCTGGCAAAGTGGCAAGGAAGAGAGAGACAACCAAAAGACAAAGGACAGAGAAGTTTTTGCTGTCTAGGTAAACATGAAAATAAAAACTATCAACAGTGTTTTTTTGATCTGGTCATTTGCAACAAAATAGATCAATCTGAAAAACTTCATACTTAATGAAATTAGCCAGTCCCAACGGGACAAATGCCATATGTTCTCCCTGATCTGTGAGAACTAATAGAGAACCTAAAACGAAAGCTGTAGAAGTGAAATTGACACTTTGAGGACCAATGATTTGAACAGTCCTTGTCTTGACTGTCGAAGAACAGTTTTTTAATTTATTTTCTCTTCTTCATATTATTTGTTGAACTCTTTACTTAACATAGAGTTAATCGTATGTATATAAAGTCAACTGAAAGTAGATCTCAGTAATAAATAAGAGAGGGAATAAGAGAAGAAGGAAGAAGTTTGTAACTGTAAAGCTGTATTGTTCTGCATACATTCCTACGAGCTTTTAAGGGTACAATTTAAAAGCTTGTCATGGGACTCCAAATCCCATTAAAATTGGTGCTAAAAATGCCATTTTAATTGTTAAAGTGGTCATATTAAGTGTTAAAGTGAATGTATAGATAGGATTAAGTGTTAAAGAAATCATATAAATAACATCAAGTGCCTGGTAATAATAATAATAGAATTAAAAAGGAGGGAATGCCCAACATGGGAATCAGTCCACACAGAAGACTCATAGAAAGACAATTGCTTTAAGTAAAACTTACCTCAGAATCATCCCTTAAGGCATTTGGATGTGGCTGAAAAGCCCAGGAGAGCATTTCAGGCATGGAAAGCCAAGACATTATGGCAAAAAAAAATCCTACATGAAGAATCTCTGTGAGTGAGACTCCAGTGGAAAAAGAGACCATCGAAGAAGGATGTACTTTTCTCTGAAGGGAGGAGAGAACTTCCACTTTGCTTATGGCCATGTCTAAATACTGATGGAGTTTGTGGTCACAAAATGCTTCCATAGCCTTGGCAGCTCATGACAAGAGCCTCGGGTGATCACTGATGTCATAAATAAGAGTGTCAATTGTTAAATCAACAATAGGAGTCACTGTACACTTAGTCCCGTGTAGGATCTCTGTCCTTAATGAGTGTACTATAAGAATTAAAGGTATAACTGGTACTCAAACAGTACTTTATACGTTGTGTGTGCATTTGTGGATACAAACTGTTGAACTCTTAGTATAGAATTGGTCTTCTGAATATGAAGTTCATTAAAAATGATCTTAATGAAGAATGAGATGGAACAGGCAGTAGGAGGTGGGACGGGAGTGGGGGTAAGAGGGTGGATATGGGGGAAAAATCACTATGTTACTTAAGTTGAACCTATGCAATTTGCATTCATTAAATAAAAGAATATTTTTTTAAAAATACCTGGATTGAGTTCCCAGCTCCTGATTTTGGCCCAGCCCCAGGCTTTGCCAGCATTTGGGGATTGAATCAGCAGATAGGAGAGTGCTGTGTGTTTACCTGCTTCTCAAAGAAAGAAATAATATTATAAAAGAAAAAAACAGTGATTTCTGAGGCTTAAAATGCATTGGGAATTCATTACATTATTAGAAGCAGCAGCAGTCCATTTACTATTATTTAAGCACTTTAATCACTTAGATGAAATCAGTTGTGAACTAATTCATGAATTTCATACTAAGATGATTACAATGTTGATGTAGTAATGATTTTTAACAGTAACAGGTGAACTCTTTCCATGTTGGCTAAAATGAGTAAGTACTGAGTTTCCTGTGGGGAAAAGAGTTTTGACATACCCAAAGGTCTATAGATACACACTAATAGTGTCAAAATGAGATCCATTTATTATTGCTCTAGTGTTAAAAGCTTCATTTTGTATCTTCTATAAGGCCTTAACAAAATTGCTCTTGGCAATCACTCATTAAAAAGAGGTAGAATCCTGCCTACCCTAGAGAATCTACATTCCCAAGAGTTTCCCTGCTCAAACTTATTATGTCTCCTATCAAATGTCATTTTTGAAAATCATTGTTGTTGTAGATGTATTCTGATTATAGGAGACAATGGGTGTAGTTATTGGTGGTCAGTGACTTTGTTAGGGTAGGGACTGTCTTTAATTGTTCATCACTGTGCTTGTATTACCTAACACAGTTCCTAGCACTTAACAAGAGCTCAAAGAATAATGACTATTACAGACCCTAATATCTGCCACTAATTGTCTGTGTGATTTGGGGCTAGTCATTTGATGCAACAAAAAAATGTGGATGTAAAGGACACTAACATATTTTCCAACTGGCATGTTTTACTGGGCATTGACCAAATGTCCTGGGTGTTGACCAGTTTACCATAATGACTACCGGGAAAAGCAGTGTTCCTCCCAAAACACTTCAAATGAAATAATCCCTGTCTCCCTTGTTCAACCAATCTGTAACTGTTTCTCACACAATCTGTCATCTGCCAAAGGAACTCCCATTGCTCATCTTTTATAAAAGGGTTCTCAAAATCCAAACCATTGTGGCATAATGGCTTCTTGCCCCAGCAGAAAACATATATTAACCTAATTTGACATTATTCACATTTTGGTTCTTAGATTTTAACTCTCTGTGGAGACTTTATTATTGCCACTTAATTAAACCAATTCCTTCCATAATACTTAATCTGTTCATAAAAATATTTTCTATTCACCACCAGGAGGCAGTGTTGAAATAGCTGTAGGTTAAAGAACTATTCACCCAGAACTCCTCAGTGGAACTTGATTCCTGGAACCTACAGCTTTCCCATAGGCTCTGCTTCCAGAAATAAGTAAGGCCTCTTAGCATCTTCCTCACTAAGAAATACCCAACACCCGATATTGGTACACATTTTTTGAAACCTCTCTGCAGTTTAAACTGCTACCATTTAGGCCAGCGCCGCGGCTCACTAGGTTAATCCTCCGCCTTGCGGCGCCAGCACACCGGGTTCTAGTCCTGGTTGGACTAGTCCAGGTTGCCCCTCTTCCAGGCCAGCTCTCTGCTGTGGCCAGGGAGTGCAGTGGAGGATGGCCCAAGTGCTTGGCCCGCCCCCCCTGGGAGGCCCGGGTAAAGTTCCCGGCTCCCTGGCTTCAGATCAGCGTGGTGCACCGGCCGCAGTGCGCCGCCCGCGGCGGCCATTGGAGGGTGAACCAACGGCAAAGGAAGACCTTTCTCTCTGTCTCTCTCTCTCACTGTCCACTCTGCCTGTCAAAAAAAAAAAAAAAATGCTACCATTTAGAGTGTTTTTGATGTTTAACTTACCACTACCTCTTCAAGACAATTTATGTGCCGTTTGCTTCTCCATTAATAATGACTGAATGACTGTTCCGTATTTTGGAGAACGTGATAAGTAACTAAAGGACAGATCCTTTAGAAAGTGCTTTGGGGCCAGCGCTGTGCTGTAGCAGGCTAGCCTTCCACCTGTGACGCCAGCATCCTCTATAAGTACTGGTTCATGTCCCGGCTACCTCTTCTAAACCAGCTCTTTGCTATGGCCTGGGAAAGCAACAGAAGATGGCCCAAGTCCCTGGGCCCCTGCACCCATGTGGGAGACTCAGAGGAAGCTCCTGGCTCCTGACTTTGGATCAGCCCAGATCCAGCCATTGCAGCCATTTGGGGAGTGAACCAGTAGATGGAAGATCTCTCTCTGTCTCTACCTCTCTCTGCCTCTCCAATAAATAAATAAATATTTTTTAAAAATAAATAAATACAATTAAAAATTTTTTAAATGTGTTTGAATTTTTATTTAACTTTTTATTTATTGGAGAGACAGAGAGAGATAGCCTCCTTTGTGGGTTCACTCCCCAAATGTCTAAATGGCCTGGGGTTCAAAGCCAGAAACCTGGAACTCAGTTCAGGTCTCCACATGGGTTGCAGGAGCCCAATTAGTTAAGTCATCACCTACCACTTCCCCTTAGCAGGCAGCTAGAATCAGAAGCAGAGGCAGAACTGGAACTCATATACTCTGATATGAGTGGCCAGCATCTAACCCACTAAGTCAAATGCTGGTCCCAGAAAGTGCTTTAATTTTTTAAGTGGAGAGTTAATGGGTTTACTAAGACAGGAAATTGGGAAAGGAAGCACATTTTCTCTAGCACTAGGCACATTTTGTAGAGGCACTGAAATCTCACAGCAGCACTAAGTACGTATGATGATTCCTATTTACAAGAAAGAAAATGAAAGCTAAACTTTTTAAGTTCAAATAGTTAAACACATGCCCAGGGATTCCAATGGGGGCCTAATTCAACAGTTCACAACACCAAGTCACGTTACAAAAGCAAACTGAAAGAACAACAGTAAGCGAACTGGAAAACAACCCAAGAGTTTCTCCAGCTGTCTCCAGGCAGTGTAGCTAGGGCCCTAACCTTGAGTGCAGTTTGGAGATTCATCATGAATGAATATTAAATCACTACTCAGGGGAAAGACCCAGCCACTTCTTCTGCCCAGGCGTTGCATATTTACTGGTAGTGTTTTAAAGTTTGCACTGTATTTGTTTGTTACGGCCTTACTTGATATTAGAGAGCCTAAACCTTTTATTTTCTTGATTCCAAAAGCAATCTGCACTGCAGCCCTAAATCGCCCTTTCTGAAGAGTGAGAAAATCACCTTGTAGAAGCTCTTGTAATATTGTATTTGCAAAGCCTACACCTCAGGAAAAGAATTTAAGATGCAATTAACCATCACAGTTCTCTAAAGAGGCCTCAAATCCCCTGTACTAACCCCAGAGTTAAGAAACCTGAATATATGCAAATTTCTGAGTTTTACTTTTTTATCAATTTTATTTTAGTCTTTTACTGACCATCATCTATTCTTGGGTTTTCACAATCGCAGGTAAAATGGCCTAATCTTTGCATACTCATATAATTCTTATACAGACTAAAGATGAGGGACCTCTGAGAAGCAACGTGATTGACAGGTCCATCTATGCACCGGACTAATTGCAAGAAGAGAGACACAGAAAAGGAGAAATGTTTCTTAATTATTCAAGTGAATAATAATTCTACCTTAACGGAGAATTAAAAGGTTGCTTTCTTAAATAGTATCTACTAAGAGCTTTATAGATTTCTGTTGAATAAGAAGTTAGCCAGGGCTCTAGTTGCTTTTTCACAATTTTGTAGGAAAAAATGATCCATGGTTATTAACAATTTGGAGCTCTACAAATTTTGGAACTACTGGGTGAGCTTGCAAATCAACCATGAAGACAGTAATTGGAGTTAAGTCCTGTGTTTGAGTGTTTCTTCCAAGAGTGAAAAGACAACTAAAAGACCTTACAGAAAACCTCATTACTATCACAGTGTGCTCTCAGGAAAGGAAATGAGGAGGCAAAGCTCCAATTCTGCAGAGGAAGAGCTTGAGGGAAAGAGAAAGCAAAAGGAGAAGAGGTAAACACAGCTCTGCTGGGAAACCCTTTGCACCCAGCAGGTGGCTGATCACTGGGACTCTCCCCTCTTTTGATTGGTACAGTTCCTGGCGGCAACTTAGAGAGGAACTCTCAGGACTGGAGGAGGGAATTTGGAGAAAGAAGGACAAAAGCTGAAGTCTTTTTCAGAAGCACACCATCTAATGAAGGCTGTTTGTTTGGCACACCTGGATTTCAAAAAAATTAAAATGCCATACGATGTGTAAGGCGAGGAAAATTAAGTACATGGCACGTGTTTCCTCCAGGCTGTTCCCCCATTCAGCCACTCTCCCTCCATTTCCTTCAGCTGACCTGAAAGGTGCCAAAGGCTGCTATCACCTGCCAAATCATGTCAGCCTGAAACTGAGTACAGTGAGAAACCCAGACTAGTGTCTTTGAGGGAAACTCTGGGCATATATGATCAGCTCAAGTATTTGGGTGTTTAAACAGTTACTAGAAATGCCTGTGACTTTTTTCTTTTCAGAATGGGTCATTCTCAATTACACAATATCATGCTAGCTATTGCAAAACTAACTGGTCACTGTTGTGCCTCTAATTTACAAGTTAAG